CTGTGTGAAAATAAATAATTCTCCTAAGTTAAAAAATTTTATAACAAATGGTATAGAAAGCTAACAATATTGGTGAAACCCAGGAGCTTCATAAAGTGGCAATTACCCTTTCACTTTTAGATATTTTCCCTTTTTTCTCTTGTATTTTGTTCTTTTAAAGCCTCACATATTAAGAAAACCTGTCAATTTTAATGTTTTTAAGTGGTTCTTCAAAAAGACAAAGAGAAAAAAAAGAACTTTATTCCTATTGTTAGAGTGTCAGTACCTGGAGAGCCTTTAATTTTTTCCTTTTTAAAGCTTTGAATTGTTCTGTTTGAAGTTCAAATTCAGAAATAAAACAAGAGTCAAAACTGAAAGTGTGTTTCTATGTAGCAAATTAATGGACTTAACCAGGAAAAAGCTGTGTTCAGCTCTAAAGCTTGTCACATAAAAGGAATTTTAACCTCTTTGGGATTTCTTTTTTTTGGTTTTCTTTCTTTTTTGACCCCCCAAAGGCCATTTTTCCAACATTTCAGAACTACAGAACGTGTGTACCTTGATAGTTGTGTGTGAAAATTTATAATAGGCACTTTGTGAGGTTGAGTGGAGTCCCACTGAAGCGAACAGAGAGCTTGGCCTAGGCCTTAAATACACAATTACAATAATTTAAACTTCTAAGTCAAAATCCATATAAAGCAAATAAAAATTACTGCTGAGCCTTTGAATTTCAGCCTTCACTCTGTGTGTATTAGTGGAAGGAAAATTACATTTGAAGTGGTCACCATGCAGATGTTGGCCAGGTGTTTTGTTTTTCTTATAGAATCCGAGCAGTCAGGTGGGGTTGGTCTCTTTCTCCAGGCAGCAACTGGCAGAACAAGAGGTCACAGTCTCAAGCTGTGCCAAGGGAAATATAGGTTGGATATTAGGAAAAAGTTTTTCATGAAATATGTTGTAATGGCCTGCCAGGGGAGGTGGTGGAGTCACCATCCCTGGGTGTGTTTAAAAAGCCTGGATGTGGCACTGGGTGCCAGGGTTTAGTTGAGGTGTCAGGGAACAGGTTGGACTGGATGATCTTGAAGGTCTCTTCCAACCTTGTGGTTCTGTGATTCTCTCTCTGATCACCCCCAAGCCAGCGTGCAGTTAGCAAGTGCTGACTTTTCAGTCATGCCCCAAAATCCCGAGCGAGCACATCCTTCAAGTCACAAACCCAAGGGGGATTTTTCCAACACAGATTGATTTGTGTATGCGTATTTAGGTGTTAGGGAGAGAAGTAAGGCTGTTGAGAGACTTCTGCAAGCTTTAGAGAGAGAAACAGTTGTTACAGATTATAATAAGGTGTAAAGGTTCTTCACTCCCTAAAATGGAGAAGCTGACATATTAAATTGCATGTGCTCGAGTGATGTGGACTGACTCAGAGAACTTGAAGGAAATAACAGCTGTGCATGTCAAAGCTTAAAAATAGAAACTTCATCAGTCAGTAGCAGTTCAGAATGAATGAAAAAATAACAAAAAAATATTAATTACAGTGCTTAGACAAAGGAAAGATAAAGTTCAAACTTTCTGAAGGCAGAATGTTGTCAGCAGTGCTGCAGCATGTCTGTGCTGGGTGGCAGCCCCTTGTCCTGCTGAGCCACTCTGTTACAGGGGGGCTCTTGGACACACGCAGGACACTACAGCCATTTCAGATACCCCAAGATGACTCAGGGCTCCCACCTGACTGGCAGTTATGATGTAGGAAATATGGGAGACTCCTGCCCTTCTGGAGTGGCAGCTGGATGCCCTGAGGCATCTCAGATGGCAGTAGATGCTTCAGTCTAAGGAGTAATTGCACATAAACATAAGTACAGACTCACTTTCCCTCATGTTTTTAATACATAGTCACCTGAAGTGGTTTCATAGCAGTGTTTGCAGTGGGTTATTGTAAAAAATAATGAACAGTTTATCTAATTTTAAACTTAGTAAGAATTCTGAGGTGACTAGAAAAGGTGTACAGCTTAAAATCAAACCAGGTATAAAATTAAAAACTATCCTAGCATCAAAAATTTTAGTTAAAAACTATGATTTAAAGTTGCAGTGGATGGTTGTTTTCCTAATGACCTCAAATTCATGAATTCATTCTAACTTTTTCCTTTTAATATATTCATAGTTAAATATAACTTGAATGTTGTCCTAATTACATTCTCATGTTAATTTAGCTTTGATTCAGAATTTCTGTGATTATTCTTTGTAGAATTATTTTGAAATGATGGAAAGTTCAGAAAAGATGCTCCATTCTGTGATTGTGCCTTTGAATTATTTATCAAATTCAAAGACAGAAATATAGCTAAAATCTAGTTTGAGTTGTAAATGAGTTCTGGCAATGTAAGGAGGAAGTGCAAGTCCTTTCTGGAGAATGCCAGGGGTGCAGCATTAGGTACTGCAGGAGCACTGCTGGCCCCACATGAGCAGAGAGCTTCGTGGTTAATAAGAAACCTCTGCTGCTCCAGCTGGCAAGTGCTGCCTAAGCAGGTAAGACAGATGATGTGTGGAAGAGGAGAGGCAAAGAGAGATACAGAGAACTTGCAAAATGACAGTGCAGATTAGTGACAAAATTAAGAGAAAACCTGTCCTGTCTTGGTCAGAAGCGGCCCTCGCTCCCTCTGCAATGTGCCATGGAAACAAAAGCTTTCCCAAGAACTGTTTGACTCATGTTTTCCACAACCCATTGCAGTGGCAAACAGTACAGTGCTAACATCAGACTGTAGGAACCAGCATTAATTCAGAAATTGTGGCTGTGGCCCTGAGCTAGGTAGAGAATAAACATTTGCTGGTGAGGCACTGCTGGGGAAAACTCAAAAGGAGAAAAGGAAACTTATCTTAATGTAAGCAGCAGTTTTGCTAGAGGTAAATGAGGGGAAATTCTTCATTGATAAATGGTTCATTGAGCCATGATAATAAAGCAGTGCTGCAGAAGAAGGATAATTATCTACTTAAGTATCAGATGCCCTAAGGGTACAAGCTTCCCTTCTCTCCTTTGGAAAAACGAACTCAGATTAAAGGAATGTCCTTTTTCCTGTTCTAGTGTTGACATGGGTTTCCTTTTTATGAGTAAACTTAATTAGTTTTTCTATTCCTTTATTCCTGGTATGGAAATCAGGTCTGCCAATCAACTTTGCAGCTCTCCCCTTGGGCCCAAAGTTTAGCCAATAGCACTGTTTATGGATGTGCTCTGTACAATGCACTGGGAAGGCACAAATGAATTACAAGGGTTTACTGTGCCTGGTAATTTACCAAGGGACACAGCATTGCACAACTAAAACCCCACAAAACTAGGGGTTTGTCTCCATTCAGGATTGTTTTGTTTACAAGTACCTGCTTTCTAAATATATTTTTCTCCTTTCTTAAATGTTAATAACATAAGCTGTAACAAGCGAAAAGAGGAATAGTAGTTTCTGTATTCTGATTCTGTACAAAAAAGCCCTGAGAGACAGATTTTCAAAGCAGATTAGCACCCACAGCTGGGACCAGTCTTCTCCTGTTCTCTTGGGAGCTGCTACAGGTAGAGCTTGCTCAATTCTGCTCCCACTATAGCAAATATCCATTACAGACTTGTCTGTTCTCATCTGGATTTAGAAAAATGATCAAAACCTGCCACTACATCTTTACTTTGAGAAAATGTCTGGTTTTCTGTCCTATCAGAATGATAAGTGTGATTCTTATAATATAACCTTGGTGTATGTAAACATGTTGTCTCTGTGCCTATGGAAATAATTGATCTTTCATATGTATTAATCTCTCCTTATTTCAAATGTCTCCCATGGTTCTTGCCAATCAGGTTATTGTAACCTTTTCATGAACCTGTTAACTGCAGAGCAGTTCCTAGTTACCTTTCCTGGATTATAGAGAATATTCCTGAACACCTGCAGGCTTCAAGATGCAGTAAAAATAAAGATGACTGTAATACAATGGCATGGAACTTAATTTTCTTCAAATAGTCCTTTGAATACTTATTTTAATACTGGAAAAAATAGTTTTCATAGCCTTTGGTCATGAAAGTTCAAGTGGTGTTAAAGGTTACTTTAAGGTCTTCATTCTGCAAATTCTATTCTGTAAGTCAGCAAAGAATCCTGTCTGCAGGGAATTGAAATGAAAATCAAGTACTTGCTTGTTGGATCTACACAACTGAGGCTCTGCTAAGAATTCTGGACCATATTAATAATGTTGCATAATTGACTTTCAAGTGAGGAATCATAGCAGTTATTAATTACTGTGAACACAGCACATCAGATGACTGTAAGCAGCATCTGTGCACTTCCATTATTTACTTTATAGCTTCATTTCACTGACTCTCAAATCACAGTCAGCAAGGTAGAATTAAATCAAAGTATATTTACAGGATTGTGAACACTGTTCTTTAAAGGAAATAGGCTTAATTATCTTAATGTATTTTTAAAAACTCATTATACTTACAACAGGTGAGCATTCCTTGTGAATTGCAAATAATGTGTAGAAATGAGTGATCTGCTATGACCAGCATAGTGCCAGCTTGTCATATTTAGGTGCCTAAAATTAGAGGTGTGAGATCAAGATTTTCAAAAATGTATATTACATATGGGGAAAAGCATTGTAAACTGCTGTCTCAGACAACACATCCAAAGCCCTCTTAAATTTCTTTGGCTTTGCGCCATTTTTAATCACAAAAGAAAATATCTCTGACTTTCACAGGAGATAAATACCAGCATTTCTCCGTTGGGATGGTAAATTTGAGTCTGTGAAAAAATTGCTTTCCCTTAAAGGTCTCAGTACAGCACAAGAGCCTTACCAATTTTGCCCATATCTGAGGGGTTTGAGGAAAAGAATTCTGAGCACAGCATCATATAATTCCCTGTAATTCACCCTATGTTTCTGATGCTCTTGCTGTATCACCAGACAGGAAGAGCTCAGGCGCTTCAAGGGTGATCAGAACCAGGTTACAGGCTGGGGACTGAGACTGTTCTGGACCACTCAGATTTGTGTTTGTGCCTTGACACTGCCACCTTCAGATGTCCTTGTTTGCCCCCTGCGGCCGGTGGAGCGTTTCCGTGACCTGTGTCCCGAGGAAGTGGCTGATTTGTTTTGTACAGCACAAAGGGTCGGGAACGTGGTGGAGAAACATTTCTGTGGCACTTCGCTCACCTTTTCCATCCAGGTTGGTAAACCAGTCTGCTAAGAAAGGTTTAATGGTTTGTTTTATCAAGATTTCAGCCTTTTCCCCTTGTCCAATCACAAAAGGACATTGAAACTTCAAGGGGTAATAAATGCAAAATAACAGTAATAACAGACAAGAAACCAAATAACTGCATTGCAGTCTTCCAGATTTGCCATTGAGAAATCTAAAGAGAAAACCAGTGGGAAAGTGTGGTTAATTAACAACTGCAAAGCCTTGGATAAAGCCAGCAAACACTCTCACATGGTGTGCTTGTTTGTGAGTATTTCAGGAAATATTCTTCCTTCAAAGTGTTTGCAGGGTTGACCTCTAGAGAAGGCAGCCACAGCCCCTGTTCCACACGCAGCCCACTGCACACACTTGAGATAGGTGATCCCTCCTCACAGATATTTATATGCAGGCAGAGAGCTGCAGCCATGTAAATACATTATAAATTCTGACCTTTCAGTTGTTTGTGCTGGGTGTTTTTATACCAAAAATGAACTCTGTTTAAAGCAAACCAGGAGACTAAGCCCATTCATTAGAATCAGAATTTAAGCAAGCATAGTTTGATTAAATTCTTATTTCCACGTGTGATTTTATGTTCACAAGGATCAGAAATTTATTGCTAGCTATTGAAAAATATAATCTGAAAAAATGAAAAATAGAAACTGTTGTTTTTGTGATGTGAGACAGTTTCCCTCTTTGCTGGGTTCTGATATGGAAAGGAGCTTTGTCCAAAAAATTAGTGTTGAATGGTCCTCAGGAAAAATATGCTAATTTAACAGACAGAGTAACTGATGTAAATTATTATTAAGATTTCTGAATTTCTGTGTGATTTGTGATTCCTTGTTAGATCCTCTAACCTGAGACTTTTCCCTTTGCTTACAGGATGGCCCTGAAGCTGGACAAACAGTGAAGGTGAGTGCTTATTATGCAGAATACAAATTAACACACAATTATAGGACCTAATAAAAGATCAAAGCTCGTCATCTGCAGTGCATTGCTGTATTGTTACTTTATCCTTGAGATAAAAAACCCAAGTGTACAATAGCAGTAAATACTTTTTATTGAAATTGCACAAGATAATGTTTACACGTTTTCTTCCTGAACAAAAATTTTCAATCAAGAAAATATCTTTTCTAAGCTGCTGGGTGTATTTATGCAAGGAAAGCCTCATGAAAAAGGCATCTGGTTTAGTTTTTTGTTTGTTTTATGGATAAAATATTGCCCTTCCATTCAGGATCTCTTTGTTTTTCTGTTTATTGCCTAATGAGTTGTAGCTAATTGTAGGAACAGTTAAACTGAACCACATAATGAAAATATACCTTTTGTCTATGATTTCTCTCAACGTATTCATATCACATTCTTGTTACTGAAGTTCAAATGTAATGGGCCCAGTGAAGCTAAAAACCAGATTTTAAGTGCACTCCCAAAGAAAAAGGTGGGAGGGTGGAAGGGAAGAGAAGGATTTATGATTATATTCTCCACTTGAGTAATAACACAGATAACATCCAAGACGTCTCTCCAGCCATGTTTCACTGCCTCATAATGCAAATGCAATTGCATGTGTAGTTAGATGATATGCCTTAACATTAGATAAAGACCATTTTTTACATTTGGAATCAGAGGAAATTCAAATATGACTATGGGTTAGCACTTTGTAAAATCAAATTAGATGTCTCAGAGAACCTGTTTGAGTTGATTAAGATAACTGTAACAACCAAATGATGGTGGATAGGAACATTTTACTTTTTTTTCAATTTGCTGAATTGACCTTATTTTTCCTTCTGCCTTTTGCTGGCTGCTTTGAATATTTAACAGAGAGATAATAGGGAGAGGGAAGAAGAAATTAGAATATCACCAAGCTTGGGATGTGATGAAGGAATGTAACACATTTTATTTCTGTACTGTGACAAAACAGATTCCTTGACTCATGACTTTGAGTGCATTGGGTGGGTTTCACTGGCAGTGTCTCTTGATAGGTAAAATAATAAGTTTAACTATTTTTGAAGTAAATTTTGTTATTATCACCAATATGATTTAGGAAGAAAATCTGAGGATTTATTTTAATAACTTGAACAAGTGTATTTCTCTCTATTAAGAAAGGGTATATAGGAATGGTTATATGTGAGAAGAATTATTTATATGAGTGAGCAAAGGAAGATGTAAAAATACCCATCTTCTGTGATTGTGAATGGTAACAAATGCTCATCTAGGCCTTAAAAAGGCAGGCAGTTCTGTATTGCTTTGGGTTTGTACTGGAAACAAAGAGTATTAAGTGTTTATTGCAAAACGGCAGCCACCCTTCATGCCTCCTCACACTTTTAATAAACACTGAGATGAAAATGACCTGTTCTTACAACTGTGAACCCCTAGACTTTGCAATTATGAGTGTGTATTCATAAATCAGAGGTTATCAGTTTACATTTCTCTACTTTTCTGCATCATTGGGCAACACTGTAATTTATCATCATCACTTTGGGATGTTTATCATCCAAAAGTGCCAACAACTATTTTCTTCAGAGAATTTAGAGCTTTCAAAACTTCAATCAGGAAAGAAATTACTGTGATCAAGATCTTCTTTTTAAGTGAACAATAGGGTGGATACATAAATAGCTTGTTTCATTTAAACTTTCCAGAATCACAAAACTTGAAACAACACCTATGTGACCTACAAATTATTTATGAACCTTAAATTCAATGTGTCATGTTTCTGGATGTGGATTTATTTGAGGGTTTTTTTCACGTATGAGAATCCACAATAATCCAGCCTCCTCTGAGAGAGCTTTTAATTAAAATTTCTGGAACAGACCAAACATTAGAAAAACATTCTAAAAGTAAAAATAGCAAAACATCACAAATATTCCAGGGACTTTGTGGAGACTGTTTAAGTAGGGTAGGCAAGTGTATCTCAGGAGCTAATTAGGTGTAGCTGATTTTGCTTTGAATGGGTTACATACCAGATGGTTTCAAGAGTCTTTTCCAGTTGTATTTTTTGTAATTCTGTATACCTGTGTAAATGTATAAATAAATACTGTATGTGCTGTGGAGGAACAGAAATACAGGAAGCAGGAGAAGAGTACTGACTTTTCAATTGCTCAGTACAATACTTTACTGCAAAATGGGAAAAGCTATCAGCCTAGCTGAAGACAAAACCTGAGAAATTCAGTCTGAAAAAGATTAAAGAATTCTCCTTCTTTGTCCACAAGAAGAAATGATAATCCATGTACAAGAAAAATCTTGAACCTGAATATGAGTCTCTTTCTTAGCAATGGAGGTGCTGAAAATTATACATGCAAACTTTGCAACAGTTTGGAAGGAGATGATCCTTTCCATGTGATTTTGGCTAGAAATCAGTGATAAGATTGTCTGCCAGTGTTACATGTCCTTTTTGGTGGTGTGAAAGCTGCTGCTTTGTGCATCTTGTGTTAAACCCTTTCTAGTTACCCAATGGGAAGCTGTTCATGATCTAATTGTAGTTTCTTTATTGCTGTACTCTGTTCCTCCTTTGCATCTAAGGTAGCAGAGCCTGCAGGACAATGTTCTAGGGCAGCTTATGGCCCTTGCAAATTCCACTTTTCTGTGTGTTTTCACTGCATGGGTCTTTGAAAGTAATTATACCTGACCCTCAGTTCACCAATATTTTTAAGGATAGGTGGGTTTTTTCCCACCCTTTAGCAGCTGGAAATATACACATGGTAAAGGATTCTGAACCATGTCCCCAGTCTCAGACAGCAAAATAATGCAATATATTCCTTCATAACATTCTTCATAGCTTTCCACCTATTTTACCTATTCCAGCCGTGTCACCTGTTTATGAGAGAAACAATTGTCCTTCTCCAAAGACGATCACAGAATTGCACACTGCTTTATTGTGAGAGGTTCTTGAACCACTCACAACAGAGAACTTGAGTATCTCTGGCACCTGAACAGTGTGTCATCAAGCAAAACCATCTTTTGGCATTCAAGAGATTTTGAATACTTGTTATTTGAGAAAAGGAAGAAATTGTGTTTAGGTCCTTCCTTAAAGATTATTAATCTCTGCAATTTTGAGCTTTTTATTGGAGAACACAAAACCCATGCTGTCCTTGTGCCAGAAATGGAGGGTGGGTTTCATGCTGGTTTTGTTTGAGAATGTCTTAAATATCCAGGCAATTTCATGGATCAGGGAAATCAGCTCTGCATCTTAATGCAGGGCTCTTATTGCTATGTCAAGTGAGCGACGTTTCGAGATTTCCCTGGTATGTTTTATAGCCTTCTTTTCATCATCAAGTCAGCAAACGCTCTGGCTGCCTGGGTGGATGTATAGCTTAGTGTAGAATAAGCTCTCAGGTTTACCTTTTACGTGAGATTCAATCACAAGAAACTCCATGGAATCTGTACTCTGTATAGGCTAAACAAATCAAGCTGGCAGGAGCATGAAGCAACTAATTTATCTGTAGAGACAAGATAATATTGCACAGCAAGTGTCCATTGCACAAACACGTATGAACACATCCTCTATTTTGCAGCAGTGTTGAAGTCTCCAGCAGCTCAGCACCTCCTCTGTTATCCATGAGAAAGGGAGGGCCTGTTTGCCAATTACAGGTCCCCCTAAATAAATGAGAAAGCAAAGCTGATGGTGGCAGTGTGGGTATGTGTGCAGAAACTTATTTTATATGTCACACATTCCACTGGTTATTTTATACTGAGAAGATTGTCTCATGATTATTTTTGATGTACATATTTTTCTTTTCCAGATGTTTTTTAATGCTGTGTTAAATCAATCCACCTGGCTTGCATTCCTCAGAAATCTTAACCTGAGCTGTGGAGCCCAGGGCTCATTTAAGCTCACAGCAGCCTACTCTTTCATCCTCTTTGTCTATTTATGTCTTGACCCGAAGTACTGGTCTGGAGGGTTGAGTCTTTAAATTTAATCAGATCACATTGCAGACTAATTGCATCGGAAGGATTAAATTCACTAACTGCAGTGCTTTTGATGCCTCAGCCTCTTTCCCTGCAGACCAGCAGAAGTGAGCCCTGGTTTAGTGAAGTACTAGAAACCCTCTTTTGCTCTCTTAGAAGAACAAAAAAAACCTGGTGTTTCAGAAATGTGAAGATTTTTCTTACCTTTAAACAAATCTAAAAACTCAGATACAAAAAGACATGGAAGCGACAAATTTTTGAAAACCAGATTGTGCTGAAATATGTGAACAAATCGTCTCCTGTGCTTTGCCCTTAAGAATGATAATTCTCTTGGAAGCTTGTGAGACATCCAAAAATGATTTGAGGAAGTGCAGCAGTGTCTTTGAATTGCTCTGAGAACCACACTAATAGTATTTGGTTGGAGACTATATAATATTGTGGACAGGTAATTGGTACAGCAAATTCAGTAGTCTTAGGGCTGCTATGTCTGTTTTGAGCTCAAAATTTTCTATTTCAGTACTATATTTAGTTTGGGGTGGTTTGGGGTTAGTGATGTATATTTTCAAAGCTAGGGTTATACTGCCCCTTACAGAGACAGAGAAGCAGCAGGATCATCCAGATCATTCCTTCCCCCTTCCTTGAAGTCTTTTGCCAGCTCTATGGTTTCTGCTCACTCTAAATAATAATTCCTGCCCTTTCCTTCAGGGATTTTTTTCAAAATCTGCCTTGTGTTGGTCTAAATTTCCTTTCAGTCCTTTGTGTTTTCTATGATGCAAAATAAGTCCTAATAAGTCTTTGCTTTGTGAGCTCCTTACTTCTGTTCTTAACATGTAACATTTAGTTTTTGACTGAACAATAAGCTTTCCAGAAAAAAAACATCATATTGTTATTTTGTTTGCCATGCTTATAGATTTAAGAGGCACTGGTAAATCTGTAAACCCTTCCCTAAAACAAATAATAATATACAGGGCCTAGAATGAAAACAGTTCTTTTGCCCCCACAATTTGTACAGA